ACTGTCAATTGCACTGTTTTTCTTTGTACTTAAACGATCACATTACCGTATTCAGTTGTTGCTGGCCCGTTCAAGATTTAACTTAGCTAAGAAATATAAATTAGGCTAAAACATATAAGATTGTAATGAATTTGTACATGACGTACAGGGTCTTGGACGTCGTTCGGATATAAGGTTTAAATTTCTTGGTCTGTTGAACCACAGTTTTGTGAGACATAACAGATTTTGGATTTACATGTTTCATTTTCAAACAACCCCACCTAAGAAAAATAACACTTTACTGTGTAACTTGTACAATAAATGTTTTTGCCATGAAACGGACCAAACTGATCCTAACTCATATTCCACTCATCATAGCATATCGCTTCAGCATGTACAAAGGGCATAACCTCAATCAGTTTAATGTAGTGAAATGACTGGTGTGAATGAAGTAGTGTACTAATACAAGTTGGAGAGGATCAGGTAAGCTTAGTCAGCATCCATGATGTTACAAACCCTCTGGGACATTACTGCGCCCAGTCTCCAAAGTTACAGTAAATTCCTACTACGGACAAACAAACACAGACAAAACACCAACAAGAAACTGATATACACTAGCTAGCTCAGAGAGGAAATGAGTACCGGCTCAGGAGGTATGTCAAAACAGGGCGCCCTTTCGAACACTACTCGGGCTAGAATCAGTGCAATTCGGACACTACTATGCAACTGAACCATGCAAAACTATATAAGTACACCTATGCTGGCAAGGCAATAGGTCAGACTGCCAGTCCTGAAAACCAGTTCTATGATAAGGGTCACGCAAGCCCCGAAGGGTTAATACAAAATCAATAAATGTTTTTGCCATGAAACGGACCAAACTGATCCTAACTCATATTCCACTCATCATAGCATATCGCTTCAGCATATGCTATGATGATATGTAACTTGTACATTGTAAGGTAGATCCACATATCTTTAGCTATTTGACACTGGGATTCGAACCCTTGACCGTCTATTCGAATGGTGACAGCTTAGCCCACTCGGCCATCTAGTTTTGTTACATAGTGTCTCTTCGTTTTCAACCACAACTAGAATGGTAGCTTAGGATGTTAGTTTTGACTTCTGATCACGCCTTTCTTACCTTTTGTGACAGATTACATTTAACCGGGTTTACCCTTTCTAGCAAAATGTCAAGCACACCAGATTAACCGATTGGAGCGGAGAGTTGCGGATCAGTGGCAGCAGACTATCGTCCAATCAGTAAGTATTTATTTTTGTTATTTATTAAGTATTTATTTGCAAGTGTAATTGAACTGAAGTGATAGCTTAGGAACCATAATTCACAACATTCTGCCGACTCAAAACTTTGAAATAGTGACCAGAATTGATCGGTGATTCAGTTTTGAAGTTTAAAAGTGTAATTGAACTGGAGTGATAGCTTAGGAACCATAATTCACAACATTCTGCCGTATCAAAACTTTGAAATAGTGACCAGGATTGATTGGTGATTCAGTTTTGAAGTTTAAAAGTGTAATTGAACTGGAGTGATAGCTTAGGAACCATAATTAACAACATTCTGCCGACTCAAAACTTTGAAATAGTGACCAGGATTGATTGGTGATTCAGTTTTGAAGTAAGAAAGTGTAATTGAACTGGAGTGATAGCTTATGAGCTATAATTCACAACATTCTGCCGTCTCAAAACTTTGAAGTAGTGACAAGAATTGATTGGTGATTCAGTTTTGAAGTTTTGAAGTGTAATTGAACTGGTGTGATAGCTTAGGAACCACAATTCACAACATTCTGCCGTCTCAAAACTTTGAAGTAGTGACAAGAATTGATTGGTGATTCAGTTTTGAAGTTTTGAAGTGTAATTGAACTGGAGTGATAGCTTAGGATTCACAATTCACAACATTCTGCCGTCTCAAAACTTTGAAGTAGTGACAAGAATTGATTGGTGATTCAGTTTTGAAGTTTTGAAGTGTAATTGAACTGGTGTGATAGCTTAGGAACCACAATTCACAACATTCTGCCGTCTCAAAACTTTGAAATAGTGACCAGAATTGATCGGTGATTCAGTTTTGAAGTTTAAAAGTGTAATTGAACTGGAGTGATAGCTTAGGAACCATAATTCACAACATTCTGCCGTATCAAAACTTTGAAATAGTGACCAGGATTGATTGGTGATTCAGTTTTGAAGTTTAAAAGTGTAATTGAACTGGAGTGATAGCTTAGGAACCATAATTAACAACATTCTGCCGACTCAAAACTTTGAAATAGTGACCAGGATTGATTGGTGATTCAGTTTTGAAGTTTAAAAGTGTAATTGAACTGGAGTGATAGCTTAGGAACCATAATTCACAACATTCTGCCGTATCAAAACTTTGAAATAGTGACCAGGATTGATTGGTGATTCAGTTTTGAAGTTTAAAAGTGCAATTGTGGTAATTTCTAACAACTATATAGTAGCTAACTTTATGCTCAAGTTTTATTTACTTACCATGACCACGTTATTAGCTTAGGAACCATAATTCACAACATTCTGCCGACTCAAAACTTTGAAATAGTGATCAGAATTAATTGGTGATTCAGTTTTGAAGTTTAAAAGTGTAATTGAACTGGAGTGATAGCTTAGGAACCATAATTCACAACATTCTGCCGACTCAAAACTTTGAAATAGTGACCAGAATTGATCGGTGATTCAGTTTTGAAGTTTAAAAGTGTAATTGAACTGGAGTGATACTATAACTATATAGTAGCTAACTTTATGCTCAAGTTTTATTTACTTACCATGACCACGTTATTAGCTTAGGAACCATAATTCACAACATTCTGCCGACTCAAAACTTTGAAATAGTGATCAGAATTAATTGGTGATTCAGTTTTGAAGTTTAAAAGTGTAATTGAACTGGAGTGATAGCTTAGGAACCATAATTCACAACATTCTGCCGACTCAAAACTTTGAAATAGTGACCAGGATTGATTGGTGATTCAGTTTTGAAGTTTAAAAGTGTAATTGAACTGGAGTGATAGCTTAGGAACCATAATTAACAACATTCTGCCGACTCAAAACTTTGAAATAGTGACCAGGATTGATTGGTGATTCAGTTTTGAAGTAAGAAAGTGTAATTGAACTGGAGTGATAGCTTATGAGCTATAATTCACAACATTCTGCCGTCTCAAAACTTTGAAGTAGTGACAAGAATTGATTGGTGATTCAGTTTTGAAGTTTTGAAGTGTAATTGAACTGGTGTGATAGCTTAGGATTCACAATTCACAACATTCTGCCGTCTCAAAACTTTGAAGTAGTGACAAGAATTGATTGGTGATTCAGTTTTGAAGTAAGAAAGTGTAATTGAACTGGAGTGATAGCTTATGAGCTATAATTAACAACATTCTGCCGACTCAAAACTTTGAAATAGTGACCAGGATTGATTGGTGATTCAGTTTTGAAGTTTAAAAGTGTAATTGAACTGGAGTGATAGCTTAGGAACCATAATTCACAACATTCTGCCGACTCAAAACTTTGAAATAGTGACCAGGATTGATTGGTGATTCAGTTTTGAAGTTTAAAAGTGCAATTGTGGTAATTTCTAACAACCATATAGTAGCTAACTTTATGCTCAAGTTTTATTTACTTACCATGACCACGTTATTATATCTACCTAGGATTAGAAAAATGTGCTTGAATGTGCTAGAATTCAACCGAATCTACACGCATTTGATTCGATTTGTCACCGATTTACCTTGGACCAGCAAATCTGATTAAGTAGGATTGGAGGTACCTACAGCCTTATAATCAAATCATCTTACTGATATAAAACTTTAAAGCTTTTGCGAAATTTTGCCCCATTTTGCGTTTTGCTCCGACCGAAAACAAGAAATACGGTATTTCTGCAATAGATTACCAATATATGAACAACTTGCTGTGACTTTGGAGGATTGTTTAACAAATATGATAACGCAGTTTTAACAAAATTAATGTTAGTTAGTAAATTTCTCTACGGTCAAATTCTACAATGAGATCGACTACCATTTTGGTCGGCTGGATTCGGGACCTTTTGAAGTTTGCGCGCGCGTTTTCTTGCCTCTTGGAGTAGGGACCTCAGTGCTGTGTACACAATTTTTCCCGCCTAATTTCAATGCAAGCCCAACGGTCATAAAACCATTACACATTACTATTCTACACTTTACTCCATCTTGACATACTAATTGGATACCAGTAGTAAGAGATATTTACCCTCTGTAGCACACATTTTGCTATTGCACACATTTTCCGACACTTGTAAAAATTTCACGGATTTTTGACACTTGTAAAAATTTCACGGATTTTCGACACTTGTAAAAATTTCACGGGTTTTCGACACTTGTAAAAATTTCGAGCATTTTCGACACTTGTAAAAATTTCACGGATTTTCGACACTTGTAAAAATTTCGAGCATTTTCGACACTTGTAAAAATTTCACGGATTTTCGACACTTGTAAAAATTTCGAGCATTTTCGACACTTGTAAAAATTTCACGGATTTTCGACAATTGTAAAAATTTCGAGCATTTTCGACACTTGTAAAAATTTCACGGATTTTTGATACTTGATAACCGTTTTACAAACTCTATTGCTGAACCAATCACTCCTTTTTTACTATTATCTGTAGATCTAAAGAGTAACTCTCTATGATTAGAGTCTGAAGATCCAGAAAACAATTAGTTCTTTTTAACTATTGTCTGCAGTTCCATAAAACTTTGTCAGCCTCTATTGAATAGATCTAGAATAGAGAAAACAGTCAACCCTATGGCCTCTCTAGATATTTTTAACAGTGCAAACGGTCTCTCCTCGAGTGAAGTTATTGTATGAACCATGAAGATTAATTAACAGCGTACGAAGTTTTTCATTTAGATAGAGCAGATGATTGAACCGAGCGGTGAGCTTGTAAAATTCAATAACTCATTGTTCAACTAGCTCACTGTCTATTGCATGGAAGCTAAATTCTTAGAAGTTTAAATTTATCACAGATCATAGTAACAGAGTGAAGTGTAGCACAGTTTACCTACCATACTATCTTGATGCAAGCTAGTAAGGTATCTTGATGCAAGCAAACTACAGTGAAATTCTTTTTTTTTGGACTGCCTTATTTAACTTGAACGGTGACAAATTTTATTTTAATTTAAATTTATCATAGATCATAGTAACAGATTGAAGTGTAGCACAGTTTACCTACCATACTATCTTGATGCAAGCTAGTAAGGTATCTTGATGCAAGCAAACTACAGTGAAATTCTTTTTTTTTTGGACTGCCTTATTTAACTTGAACGGTGACAAATTTTATTTTAATTTAAATTTATCATAGATCATAGTAACAGATTGAAGTGTAGCACAGTTTACCTACCATACTATCTTGATGCAAGCTAGTAAGGTATCTTGATGCAAGCAAACTACAGTGAAATTCTTTTTTGGACTGCCTTATTTAACTTGAACGGTGACAAATTTTATTTAAATTTAAATTTATCATAGATCATAGTAACAGATTGAAGTGTAGCACAGTTTACCTACCATACTATCTTGATGCAAGCTAGTAAGGTATCTTGATGCAAGCAAACTACAGTGAAATTCTTTTTTGGACTGCCTTATTTAACTTGAACGGTGACAAATTTTATTTTAATTTAAATTTATCATAGATCATAGTAACAGAGTGAAGTGTAGCACAGTTTACCTACCATACTATCTTGATGCAAGCTAGTAAGGTATCTTGATGCAAGCAAACTACAGTGAAATTCTTTTTTGGACTGGATACAAGTAAGCAGAAAAGGAGGAATGTTGAGCCCAAATGAAATGAGCACAGGCGTCCTTATATAGCTGCTCCACTTCCAGTTCACTAACATTCAGTTCTCTTTAAGTTTAAGTTCTTTGTTTAAGACTCTGGGCCCAACTTGAGAGTCTAAATTTTGAATTCTAAAATTCATATTTCTTATATAATTTTTTAAATTTTATGTTTAGTAAGCACTATACTATGGAACTGGGACAGTTGAACGCCGACGCAAATGTTGAAATAGAGGGGAGAGTTAAATATCTAAAGACGAAGATGATTAGTGGAGCGAAGATCGTTCAAAATTTTGCTTTGACGGGGTCTGACGGACTTCAGATACTCTCCCATTTCCCCGTGGATGAAACAGAAATGTTAAAGGTAAATATTCAAAAATTTAAATGATTCATATAGAATTAAAGAATTTTAAAAACTTGATTATAAATCTTGGTTTTGTATTTGTTTCAGTAAATAAGTAGGTTTCAGGAGGGTAAACTCTATTATTATTCAATTGATGTTAATTATTATCTGAAAGATTTTAAAATCACATCAACTCTAGAAGGGATTGACGAGTGTTTTAGATTAAATGATATCGTTTTCAGAATGGTGATGAAATCAAGGGGGCTGCCTCGAAAAAGGGGCAATATCTTACATTACGTGTATGGATCGTAACTAGTTCTACTGATAATATTCCCACCCCACCCTCCAAAAGAAAGAAAACTGTCTCTCGGCCTGCTATAAGCAGAGGGAAAACTTTACCAGTGAGTGGCTTTTTTTTTTTTTTTTCTCTTCCCTATTTCTAATTGGAGCCTAAGTCAGGGGTGGTTACTGCGAATTAGCCGAGATTAGAACCTGAAGTTTATTAGCTGGGATTAGAAAGGGTCGGGGGTTGTGATTTTGGCTAGAGTCGAAACCTGATTGAGGTTGAGGCCTCCAGTCGACCACTGAGTATAGTACACAAACAATTTAAAGTGTTTTAATGTTGATATATTTTCAGAATCAGGCGCCGAGCGAGCCGGCAACCAGTTCAAAGAAGTCGATTAGGAAAGTACCAACGGTGAGTAGCTTCATTTTTCTTATTCTTTTAAACAAACACAACTTTGAATCTCACTAGAACTACAATGTATCATAGTTCAGAATTATCCTATCCTAAGTATAAAGAAATTCAAGAAATTAAGTAAGAAAAAAATGAATAAATATTTGTTTTAGCTTCAGTATCCCAAAACATTATAATCAACAAGATGTTTTTTTTTCTCACAATCAATTTGACTTGATATATTTTTCAGGATCTGGCTTCTCTACTGGATTTAGACTTTGACTAACGACCCTACCCTAATCTGATTTAGAGACGACACTATTATTTAAAAAATGTATTAGACCACCAATAAACATTTCATACCATGATTTAACTTTGACCCTCCCAAGACCATTGATTTGTGTCAGAATATAGTTTGACCCGTTACTAATATTTAAATGTATGCTCAATTGAGCACTCCTTCCATGATATTGTAGAGAATTATTCGCTTTAAATTTCGTAGTGTTTTAGGGACCTCAGTTCCAAATGAATAAAAATGGTGTTAGTTAACCTCGAGATCTGATTGTATACATTTAAATTTTTGATGTATTGTTTAAGTTCCTGTTGTCAACTATTTATTTTCAATTAACATAGAAAAATATATTTGCTTTACAAAAACTCTTTCTTTCCTATGGCTGATCAGTAGTGTACTTACTGTGTACCCCACCAAATAAATATTTAACATGTTATATCTATAGCTCCCTATGATCTAAATCGATTACCTTCCTCTAACATGGCGACAAGGATGGGCCTCGGTTATTGAAAATATGAAAATAAACGAATACGACTACTAATTAAAAATAACAACAACTGATTGATTAATATAACAACATACTTTATTTTACAATTATAAATGATAAAAACCAATGATAACAATAACCGAATGATTATTGAAAGTATAAAAATAAAATGAAAACGACTACTGATTAAAAATAACCATAACTCATTGAATAATATAACATGCTCTATTTTACAATTATAAACAATAACAACCAATGATAACAACAACTGAATGATTATTGCAAAATATTAAAACGAATACGACTACTGATTAAAAATAATCATAACTCATTGAATAATATAACATGGCGACAAGGATGGACCTCGGTTATTGAAAATATGAAAATAAATGAATACGACTACTAATTAAAAATAACAACAACTGATTGATTAATATAACAACATACTTTATTTTACAATTATAAATGATAAAAACCAATGATAACAACAACTGAATGATTATTGCAAAATATTAAAACGAATACGACTATTGATTAAAAATAACCATAACTCATTGAATAATATAACATGCTCTATTTTACAATTATAAACAATAACAACCAATGATAACAACAACTGAGTGATTATTGCAAAATATTAAAACGAATACGACTACTGATTAAAATATGTAAATGAAAAATAATGGTAACTAGTATTGATGATCAAAATCAAAACATGTAAAAATATATAAATCGAATCTTCAGAGTTGCTTTCCTATTGGATAGTCCTGGCGCATGACGATTAGCAACTCTGTACTGTAGCTGAAGGCTATAGATCTAACTACTATTTAATCACGCAGCAGTTTCTTATTGCTAGTAGTAGCGCCACTACCAGTGAGAGTAGTTATTTGATTTGATGAAAAGGTAGAAAAGTGAGCACTCTCACTATAGAAAATGTCCATCAGAAGAGAATTCTCTTCACTACTGTTTGAATTTACTTGTTATTCTATTTTAATTATTATCTTATTACACATTTTGCTACTATCTTTTCTTGCTATTTATTTTTAAATGGTTAACCATACTTTTTTTTCTTTTTTATTTTGGGGAAAATTTGCCTTCCTCAGCTGGTCGTTACTTTATTTTTCTAATATTCTTATCATTTTAAAACTTTGATCAGCTGCAGGGGGTGAATTTGCGTCAAGGTTCTGTAATATGAACCAGTTTTCACAGAAAAAAGACCGTCCGTAGGTGGTGAATAGCCACATCCTTCACGAGGTGACCCCGTTCTCTGCATTTTATTTTACCCTACTTTTTGACTTATGTTTTTATTTTCCAATGCAGAGGTTACTAAATACGGCGGATCGGTTATAAAATACTTAGTACTATATAAAGGCTTAAAAACAGACCTCTTATCACAAAACTATTAGCATGAGCGAACTGACTTTTAATGTAACACGAGCCTTGAATGACTCTGTCATTGAATTTAAGGTTAGAGCCCCTGAAACACAGTTCAACGGAACCCCTGAAGAAGGGTTGGAGGTGCTCTTGGGGGGTGTTGACACGATAATAGAGCACTTCATGCAACGACGGAACTGTTTCAAGTTCCATGTCACTTTGGACGGAGTATTTCAGGTATTTGATTTGCTACTAACAATCTGTTAAAATAGTGATAAGGAAATTTTCAAATCCAAAAGAAGTGGTTTAACAAGGAAAAAAATATAGATAAATAGAAGTTGATATATTTCATTTACAGAAACATATAAACGGAGAAGAGCAGACATTTGGTTTCAAGACACGAGCAACTGTGTGTCTGAGATCATCAAACAAGGATGAGATGATCAATGAAGTTCGAAATAAAATCTTGAACTCATACGAGTCTTTTCAAGGAATGGGTTGGTAAAGTTTTCTAATTTTTATTTCATTAACCTCCAACTACCTTGACCCTAATCAAACCAAGTTGAGTTATGTTACAATTGCAGATACAAAGATTATTACAAATAATCTCAACAGGTAGCGGTTGGATATGGAGACGATGGCAAATGGTTACAGTGCTCGTCATAAAGTACAACCCTGTATCAGGATGATTGATTGAGTGATTGATTAGGGGTCTATATAGGGACCACTATAATGTTGAAAATTGTTGTTTTATATCTTACTAATTTCAATTAACTTTGAGAACTTTCAATAGTTTAAAACCAAAAATCAATAACAAGAGTGATTGAAATTAAAAATGTAGATAGAAGACATATTGCATTTAAGTTTGAATTATGACGTGATTTAAGAACATAATTATCCATGTTATATATAACACTCTATATAACATTATATAAACTCTCTTAAATTCTAGAATGTCGACTTACTTGCCAACTCCCAAACTGTTGAAAAAGAGAAGATGTCTGTTGAACATACGGAATAAAGATGACCAATCATTCCTTTATTGTATTGTGGCTGCTTTGAAAAGACCTGATAGAAACCCAACACGACCCGGATTCTATAAGCGTTATGTCAAGAAACTGATCACGACAGGTATATATCAAATATTAACAATTATAACATATGCAACCGTCACGTGACCGTAATAATCTAGTGAATATCTAGAGCTTGGTGAAGAATAGAAAATGATACTTGTACCCACAGGAATCAACGCACCAAAACGGTTGGAGGACATCCCCCTGTTTGAGAAACAAACCTGTAAGTCCCTTTATCCATATAATAAAGCAACTTTCCTAATTACACATTCATAATATTTTTAAATTTATCTTTATTCTTATATCAACTACGATTTTCAGGTATATCCGTCAATGTTTTTGGTTACAGTGAGAGCGAGCTAAGAACACACATTTTCCCTATTTACACGACGAACTTCAAGTTTAAGAGGATAGTACATCTGATCAGTTTGACAGAAAGAAATAAAACACATTATGTTCTGATCAAATCCCTATCAACATTTTTGAGATTGGTCACGAAATACGAGAAAAGAATGTTGACATGTGAAAGATGTTTTAGAAGGTTCACATCCAAACGTTTTTTTGAAAAGCATGCAACGTTCTGTGAGACAGGAGAACCCTCTGTCTTCATGCCTGAAGACCCTGTATTGAAATTCAAAAACTTTCAATACAAATTTACCTGCCCTGCGGTCATGTATGCTGATTTTGAAGCCTATCAGATCAGCATGAACGAGAGCACCGGTCAAAAAAGCTCAAACATCGCTGAACAAAAACCAACAGGGTTCGCATACATGATTGTGTCACCTCATGATGTTCTTTGTAGACCATTGAAGTTATATAGAGGTGAAGACGCAGCCGCAAAGTTTGTAGACTGTTTGATAAATGAGTGTTACGGCATAGAGGATATACTTAACGAGGTGCAACCAATGGATTTCACAGACGATAACATGGTGCAATTTCAAACAGCAACCAACTGTTCAATCTGTAAACAAAGATTAATTTGGGATGATTTGCACAATCCTGTTGTTCGCGATCACTGTCATATTTCAGGTTGATAAGTTAACTTATACTATTGATTATTACAAACGTTTACAATTGAAATATAAATCTAAAATTGATTATCTCTAATGTGACATCTTATTCAGGTTCATTTCGTGGTGCCGCTCATTCTCAATGTAATTTGAAGGCTTGTCAACAAAAGAGGTTGTTTGTCTACTTTCACAATGGGAAGGGTTACGACAATCATTTCATTCTAACAGCTTTAGCTGATGACAAGAGAACGGGTACCATAGAGGTTATTGCCAATACTGCTGAGAAATATACCCAGATTAAGACCCAAAGATTCATAGTCCATGATTCAATGAGTCACCTCGTTGGCAGTCTAGATAATCTCTGCAAAAGCTTGCGACAGAGGGGCTTGGATGGGTTTAATCTAATGCGAAACGAATTCCCCCTCGATGATCAATTTCGATGTGTGTTGCAAAAGTTAATCTACCCCTACGACTATATAGACGGGTTTGACAGATTCGAGGAGCCAATTCCTGGTAAACCAGCGTTTTTCAACAAACTCACCGATGAAGATTTGTCTGACGAAGATTATGACACACTCTTAAGAATTTGCAAAATCTTCAATATAACTACTTTAGGGGAACTTCACGATTTGTACTTGAGGTGAAACATTAATTACATTTTAATGCTCTTATTTTGATAGCCTATCATGTAACCCTTTCGCGATTATACTCAAGAAATTGCATGAGTTTGATATGTAACCTTGAATTCCCTCCTTCTAGAATTTTGATAAGCTTACGAGTTGAATGATATTTTCCTGTCTAATCTAAATTCATGCTTCAGAGTGGATGTTTTGATACTAGCATGTGTCTTTGAGGACTACAGACGGTTGGGTCTTGAAATGTTTGCTATAGATCCAGCGTATTACATAAGTTCACCAAGCTACTCGTTTGACGCTATGTTGCATCTAACGAATGTTGAGTTAGAATTGTTGACAGATGTGAACATGTATGAATTCTTTGAAAAAGGTTAGTTTCCTAATGTAGGGAGTAGATTATTTCTTCATGTTTTTCATTAATAAAAATACAGAAACCTTTTGAACTCACTTGAATATTGATTAAGGATTTTTCAGGAATGAGAGGAGGTTGCAGCACAGTTTTCAAACGTCTAGCCACAGCTAACAACAGAGGTCTACAAAGATATAACGATCAAATGCCTCAGTCATCGATTTTCTACACAGATTGTAATAACCTGTACGGGTAAGTTTTAAAATAAATTAACTGGCAAGTGTAACTCAATTAAGTGTAAATCATATTAACTACATTCTGTTTAGCCTTATCTGGTCTCTGTTACAAGGTTTGTAAACTGGATCGGGTAGATAAGGATGGTTAGTTTAGGTCTGCACCATGCTTTCAACCATGCACCATGCTTTCAATATCATTATTTTCCTCTGCAGGTATTGCATGCAAATGAAGCTGCCCCACAAAGATTTTAAATGGTTGACTGAGCAAGAGATATCCTCTCTGGATGTCACAAAGATCGACGTTAATGGTGATACAGGGATGATTTTGGAGGTTAGCTAAGAGTTTACTTAATTATTTCAAGACTATATAGTGTAATGTTTCTGACTTCATTACATTTATTCTAAATTTTTACAGGTTGACTTAGAATACCCTGACTCACTTCATTCGAGTCACAGAGATTATCCCTTGGCTCCGGAGAGGTTATCTATAACAAAGGATATGCTGAGTGAGGAGACGAGGCAGTTTTTTGATGATTTCAACATATCATATTCAACCCAGACCAGACTCACGCAAACTGTCTTACCTAAAACGAATTATGTCACACATGTCAAGAACTTGCTGTTTTACACACAGCAAGGACTTGTTCTCAAAAAGATACATCGAGCTGTGACATTTTACCAATCTTCTTGGATGGCTGAATATATAAAAACAAATACTATGAAGAGGATTGAAGCCCAAAACAAGTTTGAGAAGGACTTCTTTAAACTTCTGATAAACAGGTGATTATTGACAGAATCAAACAGGTTATTTTTACTAATTTCAGAAAAACGCGAATCTTTAAAATTTTGTTGCTAAATCGATAATTTCAGTGTCTTTGGCAAGACCTGTGAGAACGTTAGAAAATATCGAAAGTTTGACTTGGCAACAACTGAAAAGCAAGTCAAACGCCTCTCTCAAAGAGTTGAACTGAAGTCTGCTGTCGTTGTATCCAAAAATCTCGTCATTTTTGAGTCAAACAACCTTGAGATAACGTTAAACAAACCTCTTTATGCAGGCATGGTAAGGTTGTTCAAACTGTATTTTAACTGTGATCGCTCTCTCAATTATACGTAATTTACTCATGTTTTCCAAAACAAATTTATAGACAAGCTCATTTGTAACTCTGCTCATTTTTCCAGGTGATTTTGGAACTTGCAAAACTCCACATGTATCAATTTCATTATAAAGTTATGCGACCTCTGTTTCCAGGGAAAATTGAGGTTAGTTCTACTCAAATTCTAGCTTAACAGAACAACAACAGACCATTATTCTAGATGTTCTTATTTTTCTCTATTTAAAATTAACAAATTTCAGTTGTGCTACAGTGACACGGACAGTTTTCTATACCACATACAAGAAGGCGATTTGACTGAAAAATTTTCGAGAATATCCTCAACTTTCATGGACTTCTCAAACTACCCTGTGAATCATTGTCTCTATTCCATTCAGAATAAACTCACCCCGGGCAGGTATTATCAGTCACTAAATCAAATTAAAAATCAATGTATGATAAATTAGGGTTGAAGGCAGCCGAATTTAACTCTTTCACATTTTCAGATTCAAGGACGAAATGGCAGGTTGCGAAACCCATCAGTTTGCTGGGTGTAGAGCCAAATGCTACTCTATAGTTACAGATGAAGAACAGAAAATGGGAGCCGCGGGAGTGAAGAGAAATATGCAAAAGAGACTGAAGCATGTCGATTTTGTAGAAACAATCGCACATTCCACGTTTAAGAACATTACTCAGAACACCCTAGTATCAAAAAATCATAGAATTTTTATGAGACAATCAGAGAGAATAGCTCTAAGTTTTGTAGATATTAAGAGGGTTGTTTTAGGTAATGGAATTGACACAATTCCATACGGGTATAATGGATATGTTGATTGACTTTTTATTTGTTTGTATCTTATTTATGTTTAGGTTATACAAAATAAAAGTCGCATATTATTCGTTTATAAAATTAAAACGTAAATGATAATAACTAAATCTAAAACAATCAACTAAATCTAAAATATCCAACTAAATCTAAAAACACCCAAGAAAATTAAGATTCAATAAAATTTTTTATAGCAATACATTTTGCCTTGGCACAATATCTGGCATTGTGTGACCTAAAACAGTTTGCATCTGGCAACACATCTGGCATCTGAAATCCTAATTCCTGTACATTTGTAACTATAGTTGTTGGTAGAATGTTTTGAATAAATTTCAAGGTAAGATCGTTGTAGGTATACACATGATATTCTTGAAATCTCCAAAATATTTCGTTCATCTTCTCGTAGGGAAACCAGCCATCATGATAGGACAGGTTGTTGAGGTTCTTGGTGGCATACCGTATGGTTCTTTTATCAACATCATTTAGATCTCGATTCATAGGGGGTTTCACAAGGTAGTGGTTGAATTCATTGTTGATAAACATACAGCAGATTTCTTTGACGATAAAACCGCTCGGTAAAGTATATCCGTCTGTAGTGATGTAGACATTCATGATTTGAAACGTTCTGTAATTCGCAAAACAAGAAATGAAGTGAGAACATTCCACCTCCCTCTTTATAGCTTTGCTTTCTTTACTTTAACCATAGCCTCAGAAATGCAACTGTCGTTTAAACTGTTGATGTATCTCCCAAAGTACAATGCTTGAGGAGAGCTTGTTAATAGAAAAGTTTTTCCAAGATTACAGTAAATGACAGCATCTTTTTTAAGGTCGGAACTATGAGGCAAGCTTGGCGCAAAAATTTTGTACAATGTTGGCAAGGAACCTAAAACTTCGCCTCTGGCTTTTTCAAAATGGTTCTGAACTCTATCCAATAGTGATAGCTGATGGTGTTGGTGGAGAATATCATTTTTCATTCCATCTTGACAACCAGGACAATCTGCTAATGTCCATGAAACGCATTTTCTTATCACATTTTCGGTGAGGAAGCCAACCCAGTCAACATTATCGTAAAATGTCATTTCAAACGAATTCAAGAATGTTTTAATGGAAATGAACTCATTTATAGAGGTTAAACTTTTCAACAAAATTTTTCACGCTTGGGTTAATATTTCGGTCAAAATACTTGTAAACACAGAAATAAAACTCTGCAAGATTCTCAGGATGATGTCTTAACCAAATACACATTAAACGTATGGTATTTTCATCGTGAAGGCATGCTTGGTCTTGATTAATTCTACAAACCGGACAAACAACCATGTTGATGGAAATTACTATCTTAGATAGTAGCTTTTATAGATATCTACTAGAGAAAGTTTAGTGCAATTTTTTTATCGTACTACACTCTATGATCTAGGACATCAACAGTTAAGAACTGACTCATATATCTCATTAAGTCTTAAGCTTCCCTCAATATAGAAAAAAAGTTAGACATCAGTGCTAATAGATCTAGGAACTTTAGAAAATTTCACTCCATCAGAAGCTTGAAGGATTTTTACCCATGATTTTATAGCCTCCTCTTTTAGATTCAAAGGAATACCTATAGCTAGCACTATCAAAACAATATACCAATAGTTTATATTATTGTATTGTGCAATTTGGGCAGAACAATTTGTAGTACATTCTTCAATCTCATCTATAATAGGTGACAGGAAAAGCAGGCTGTTGTAGTTCAATTTGGAAGTGTCTCCAACTGATTTTGTTAAATTCATAGACTTTCCATCAATTTCAAATCCAATCCAGGAAAATGTGAATGTTGATTGATTTATTGCCGCCTCAAAAACAGTAAAGTTTTCTCCCTGGTTCAAATATAGATTTACGATTTTCTGTGACCTAAACAAATGAGCACTTTGATTTACACCCTCAAAGTAAAAATAATCTTGCTGGCCGTTTAAGTTAACAGGAAACTTGAATACAAAAGTAAGGGTTGAGATGAAATGGAAAACTACTTGGAGATTCATTTTTCCTGGTTTTCAATATAGTTTGTGACACATGCTTTATATAGCCTAATTAGAAGCATTGTATCTGTTATAGGTATCTCTGGCTAACTTGATAGAGTCCTTGATAATTGTGAAGAGGTTAATAACATCACCCCGCTTATTTCTAAGAATATTTTTTGCATTTGATGGTGAGGCCGTTTGTAGCTGCTCCACCACACGTCGTTGTTCATTTGTTACCTGATCTCGCTGTGGTTGACAAATTGGTAGAATACCAAATGACAAGCTAAGTAGTAGATTCTGCAGTGTCGGTAAATGATTTTGAATTAATTCATCAATCTGATGGTTATTGATTAATTTTTGAATTTGAAAAATTTCCTCCATTGTTGTGCAATTAAATATCGCTTTTGTGAGACTACTCAAATCTTCGTCATCATCTTTCACAGCTTGAAGTTGTTCTGAGAGAAGTTTTATTTTTCTTTTGCATTCTCGTTCGAAATCATCCATTGCCTTTTCATGTGCATCATTCAAATCTTTAGTAGCTTTGACATGCGACTCTCGTATCTTACCAACTCTTTCATCGTATTCAGCCTTCATTTCATTACCAAAGTCACGCAATTTATCTCTATAATTCTCTTTTAGAGAATCTATTCTTTCTTCGTGCTTCTTTTTTAAATCTGTGATCTTCTTTTGACATATGTTTTCAAATTGCTTTTTAGAAGCTAAACACTCTTCATACAATTTCTTGTAGTCAATACTATCAATACTATCAACCACTGTTAGACCATCATCAGATTGTCCATCATTGTCATAGCTGTCAACTACCTGAAGTCCTTTATCTCCTTGTCCATCATCATCAAAACTATCGACAATTTTCAGATTATCGTCAGCTTGTCCATCGTATGTTTGTGGAGTAGGATAAGTTTTGATTTCATAGTCTCTAGGTTTCTCTTTAGGATGATTATGTTTAGTTACTGGTGCTAAATCACGTTTTTTAGCATCTGGGTGAGATGTGTTATATCCTCTAGATCGTTTACTCGAAGATGATGAACCATGTGAGTGGTTAACCAACATGAGTTTCGGTTCTGGATGAGCAAGGCTTTTGTGTTGATACAATGTAGCGTTTGTTGGGTAAGATTTCCCACACTTATCACATTGTAAACTCATTTTAAAATTACAGTGAACTCTGGGTATTTATAGACAAAAAATATATCATGTAAAACAGAAATGAATTTGAAAGACTTGTATGAAGACCCTACCTTTCCAGGGTCCTTTACTGGAAAGAATCGCTTCTACAAACAGCTTAGAAATAAAGGCCATTTAGTAAGTCCTAGAACTGTAACAAAAAGTTTAAGAGCAATTGACAGCTACACACTACACAAACCCGATAAGAAACCTGGTTTATATCGCAGAATTTGGACCAAGGGAATTGGATACTTGTATCAGTGTGATTTAGTTGACCTCTCGAGTTTACATCAACACAACGATGGTTACAAGTGGATTGTTACTATAATCGATACATTTAGCAAAAAAGCATGGGCTCTTAAAATGAAAAATAAGACAGCAAATTCTGTTGTAGCTGTTATGGAACCGTTCTTACGTCAGAACACTCCACAAAAAATGCAGTTTGATCAAGGAACAGAGTTTTACAACAAGAAATTTTTGCGTTTATTAAAAGATTTACGTATAAAACACTACAGTGTTTATAGTGATAAAAAAGGGGCAATAGTTGAGCGGTTCAATAGAACATTAAAAACGCGAATGTTTAAGTATTTTACGTCTAAGGGTACTCACCGTTGGATCGATGTTCTACAAGATCTATTAAACGGATACAATGAGAGTAAACATAGATCCATAAAGCACACTCCCAATGAAGTAACATCTGCAAATGAAGCATTAGTTCGAAAAATATTATTCCCTAAAGTGATAAAGAAAAGTAAGTTTATGAAAAAGCACTTCAAAGTGGGGGATACGGTAAGGATAACAAGGCAAAAAAGAACATTTCAGAAAGGTTATGAACAATTATGGAGTCACGAAGTGTTTACAATAAGTCAAATCAAAGACACTTATCCTATCACATATGAGTTGAAGGACTATAAAGGTAAAGAGATTAAGGGTTCATTTTACACTAGTGAAATACAATTGGTGGATAAATCTAACAGCATTTATCAAATTGAAAAAGTTTTAGATAAGCGTACGAGACGAGGTCAGACCGAATATCTTGTCAAGTGGCAAGGTTATCCAGACGAAGCAAACACTTGGGTACCTCAATTCGATCTCTTCAGTTTGTGATGCCGATTAAGTTTCTAGCCTCCCACAACTGCATAATATTTGGACCAACAAGAGCTGGAAAGACTCAATTCATATTGGAAGTTATCAGACAAAAACTAGTACACCCCTGGCCTAAACGGATCTTTTACATGTACAAAATAGAGCAGAGTTTTATGAAAACTTGGAATGATGAAGAAAATGTGCCGATAACATTTATCAAAGGACTTAATTTTGATAAAATAGATACTTCTGAACCTAGTATGTTGGTTGTTGATGATTTAATTCTTAGTGATAACAAGGAAATGGCAGAATGTTTCATTTTAGGGTCACATCACAAATCAATATCTACATTCTACATAACACAAAACCTATTCCCAAAATGTCCCTTGTTTAGACTCATGAGTTCTAACAGTCACTATTTTGTTCTCTTTAATAGTCAACGTCATTTTAGACAAATTAACACATTGGCAAGACAAATGTTTTGTGGTGATGATTTGAAGCGTGTCACTAACGCCTTTAAAAGAACATCAAAACAGGAGAGAGGATTCATTCTACTTAGTCTTGCACCAAGTCTACCACAGGAGCTAACTGTAATAACAGATTTTTGGGAATGGTTACCAAGCATTTATCTCTAAAGCAGGCAGATATGTTGAATAAACATCGATACATACTGGAGAAGTTAGCTGCTAGTAATATGAAAAACCGTAAAATCATCTTGAAAAATTCACCTCCAGAACTTTTCAAAGTTCTTGGAATCGTGTTCAATCTTTTAGCAAATAAAAAACT